GTCAATTGACTTTTTTTAAGGTAAAAACGCCAGAACTATTTCTAAAAAGTATCAGGAACTATAGAACTCTCGTGCATGCGAATAGAACTCACTTTTTTTTTTGATCTGCTGGACAATGATCTGCTAAGTTCACTGACATGAGAGCTTTTAATATTTTTGAATTAAAAAAGTTTTGCTATATTTTTTTTCCTTTTGCGTTGCCCAAAACGTTGTAGTTTAAACGCTCTATAAATACTGATTTTTTCCCTAAATATATCTTGTCCAAAGACATATTGCCATTTTTGAAAATATAAGTTGCTTTAAATAAGTAGGTATTTGAAAATTAAATTAATGTGGAATATTTCAAGATCTTAATTTTCAAACCAAGTGAACAATACAATAGCTATGTAGGTAAGTACTTAGACTGTGAGACCCTAATTTTCTATATTTTTATTTCGTCATCCTATCAATACAATAAAGTTTAGTAGCACGAGTGTACATTTCCAGCCAGGTACGTTGTTAGGCGGATTGCAGTGCGTGTGAGCGAGGGGAGAGTTGATCGCGATACTAAATAAAGATTTCCGCGATGACATCCGCGCGGGGCGCATGCGCGTTATCTCCCACGTGTGCTCCGCGCTAAATTCGCTACCGAAATTTTGAATTTGGTAATATAAATAAATATTTTTTTATCATGTAATTAAGTTGGGTTTAACCATGGATGTACAAGCCTTTTAATTTTGCATAGATTATGACAGGATGTGACAACATCAGCAACGTATTTTGTTGCATCTTTGATCGTAAATAGATAAAAAAATTAAGCCCCCTTTTAAAGTATTTTATTCGTGTCTTTTCCATTCTACGTGACATTGGCGAAGTAATCTGTGCTCAACTGGCACGTTTTGAAGCCAAAACAAGAGAATTGAATTGAAAATATTTTATTGAATGTAAAAGTTCACGAAAAAAATTATTTATATGGCTAATGTTGGCTGATAACTATTTATATCTAAATAAGGAAAATAAATAAAATAAAAAAATAAATATGTTTGGAACATTAACACATAATACTATCTAGTTCCATGGTAAGCTACGAAGCTTGTGTTATGGATACCAGATAGTTGATACACAGTACAGACGTTCGTACTCATCACACAAATGAATGCCCCCAGCGGGATTTGAAACCGCGACCGATGGCACAGCAAGTACATAAAATATAAAATAATAATTACACAAAGCAAAACTGTTGAGTTAAAGGTTCTTTGCTCTTATTTTATTTCTTATTCACGTATACAGACAAACATCTTATAATAATTTTTGTACTAGTGCCAACTTGATAACAAATATAGGAGGTATTTCCCGTGAATTATTTGTCATTGTACAAGTATAGTTTAATACTTCGTAAATTAACAGGTTGGAAAAGTTAATTTTATTAAAAGATGAAATTCAGAATATCATGATATTAATTATATTTAAAATTAAAAATGTGAAGTTTTATCCAATTGTTTGGATGCTTGTGACACAAGCAAGCGTAAATTGGATATGTATGAAATTTTACACAAAGACACAATTTGTATTGGAATAACATTACATTTTATCCCCTTATAGTGCTTTCAAGTGTTTACAACTTAAAGATGTTATTTTAAATCTGAACTTGTAAAAAAATATGGCGGATCTCAAGAGCGTAAGTAAGAAGCAAATATTTTTTTATAATGGCGAAGTCGAGCAGAATCTAGTAGGTTACTAAAATATTAATAAATGACTATTTGTACTTATATTATTAAAAAAATATGTATTAAATTCAATAATATGTTAAATAAAAACTTGTTCCATCTATTTAGTTCACGAAACAAAAATAGGAATAATGATATTTTCATTTATACTTTAGATATTTAATGAATAAAATACCTTATTCTTCTACATTTTCATCATCAATTCATTAAATGTTAAATAGTAGTACAGTTAAATTATTTTACCATATCTATTGTTTTACCATATATGTAGGTATATCATATATAAAAAATTTGACAACGTCAAACCAAAATTTATAGTGTGATTAAAATTTATTTTAAAATATATACGAAAATAACATTAAACTTTAATTAATAGTATAAAAAATGTTTTAAAAGACAAAAATATCGAAAGTGTATCATCATATTACAAGACATAATCAGAGATATATATAAGAGACATATCATAAGACATATTCCGCTATAAACAATAGCATTCCCAAGGAGGGTTGACGTCAGGCAGGCGGCCGGTCGTAAAACTTTTGCCAAATCCTTTCAGCAGTACAGAGGATGTAATGCGCCGACCCCAAGTAATTGGGAAATGGGCAGGGAGAAGAAGAAGAAGTAGGTATATCATATATAACGCAAGTTGTAGTAATTTTTTAAATTTATGGATTCGTAAATTATTTAAAATAATATTCAGTCTGTCAAGAAAGTACCTGCTCAAAACGCTGTTCAACAAAGAGCCGGCAAGTATTCAACATCCGATATTAAAATGTTGTTCCACAATTATTTTCATTGACACGAGTTCTTTGCGAAGCATATACAAGGTACATATACCTATACGTAAATGATTGTTATTTAATGCTTAAAATTCATTCTTATTAAAGAAGGGAGAAGCAATTTCCAATGTGACATTTAATTCAGTTTAATCACCGCATAAAACACGTGTAGTCTGCCAAGTTTCAAACCCATGCCAATTTTACTTGGCTACGATCTTTAAAAAAAATGAAAACAGCTACAAATATATAAATATTTAACTTTTAATTTAATTCAAAATATTCTTCTCTGTTCTCCAGTCAGTTTAATTCCCTATATGGTAAACAAGTTTTAGTGGATGGCCACGCGTTTATGTCACAAGAATCTGAAACTTTCTGAGGAATCAATCATATTTAGCCTAAGAATTTTATTTTATACTTTAGATTGACTTAAAATATATTAACTCTTAAGTGTATGTAGACCAATATCTGATAAGTGATAAGTATCTAATGAATATATCAGTGGAGGTGATCGATTTCAGTAAACGTAAAATATATAGTTTGTCACTTTGTAGAAAATAATGAGTTCATAAATTGTTTTTTTAGAAGGCGATATAATAATACTAATTATAAAATGTTGCGAGTATGTTTGATTGAGCGCGTAAATAAAAAACTACTGGTTAGATGTCAAAATGGCTTATTATGTGTTAATTCGAAGGTAAAGCTATACATATTAAATATAGTAGCTATTAATAAAATGATCATATTCATCTTTTGTCTAAACGCAAAAATAAAACTAAGGCATGAAATATTTGGTACACAAAATAAAATATACTCAATTGACTTTTTATATACAATAGTTAACTGATATGGCCTGATCCTGATCCCCCTCGTATTGAAGGGAGGCCCGTGTCCAGCAGTGGGACGTTAAAAAGTGCTGAATACAACTGATATGTAAAAATTTAAGGTGTCCAATATCAACATGGATATGAACATTACAGCTATTTGGCTATTTGGTTTGCGTTATTGCATTTATATTATTACTTAATAATAAGTATATATACATATTTTATACGAGGGGCTATGTTAATGGCAGCCGGAAAGCACTAATAAGGCGTAACAATGATATAATCATAACAGGTTAATACTAGGTCTGATTAGGTCATTTTACAACAATAAGAAACGTTATCGGCATGTTCAAGGTTGGCTAGCCGGAGATAGAGCGATAAACTTTTTATTTTTTATGAAAATTAAAATATTTTCGGTGATGTAACTTAACTTTTGAGGTGTACTTTTTATTAATTTATTTATATTTTTTTTTAAGTTTACATTTATTGATGTTTTTTTAATAAATTCCGAATAGCTGGGATGCTCGAAAGTTCGAAAGGATTTGAGAAACATGTATACCGACTACCGTACTTGTTAAGCAAGTCATGTGTTTATGTTGTGTGTATGTTTATTAGGTAATATAAATTGTAAAATTTTGAGATAAAATTTCTTTAGGCGTGACTGAGGGGTGAGTCAATAATAGGTACATCGAAAAAATGGGTGTCTCGGCAGTGAGAGTCAAAATTATCAATTATTTAAAAAAATATTATATTTACATATATTTTATAAAAATATATATATTTATTATTTATTGACTATAATTTTATAAAAATTATTTATAAAAATGAAATTAATTATAATAATTAATTCATTATATTTTTTTAATAAAAATATTAATTACTAGAATTGCCCCCGTTCAGATGACCAAAAAGCAAATTCTTAGGTTTTATATATTAGTATACTCTTACATTGCAGTTTTTCTATTTTTTCTCAGAAATGAAACATTTTCCCGCAGTAAAAAGTATCCTATATGTTGACCCGGATAACCAGCTATGACCAAATTTCATCAAAATCCCTCCAGGGGTTTTTCTGTGATGCGGTAACGGACAGACAGACAGACAAATTTTTAAAAACTATAGATTCGGCCTATCTATCGATAATAATGTTTATTTTTCAATAAGATTTTCCAAAAAACATTTAATGTACAGATTCGGCTTAGTTACAATTTTATTATATGCATCGATTTTTTTTATTTGTTTTAATTTAATTGCGGTATTTGTCACAGCGCCAAAGAAGTTTTACTACAACCGCGTGTAAAGGTTACTCGCACTCATTTTATTTTTCTGACAAGCTTTGCTCAACTTTTTTGCAAAATCGTTTTTTTTTTAATTATAACATTTTCTTGTTTTTTATTTGATCAAAAATTATTACTACATTTAGTTTCTATTAAAAATTGATGTATTGTTTTGCACGTTAAATCTATAGGTAAATAAAGTTTTTATAATACTTAAATAAATATAATTATAATAACTTTTTACAGAAGTTTTCACTTAATTAAACGCATTTCCGTTATAAATATAAATTGTGGAATTTGAGTATTTTATTCGATTTCTAACAATTTATTTTAGTGAATAAACTATAAAAAAATAACATGTTGGTAATAATTCATTTTTAAAATATTATGATTAATTTTTAAAATTTTTCTTTTCAGAAACGACGGTATCTAACCAAGATGCCGCTACAAATCAGGAGAAATCAATGTACGTCATTTCTTCGGGACAATCTTTTAACACTACTGACTGTGATCGGTGTACTATCAGGCACACTATTGGGATGGGGGTTGAGAGCGTCTGGAATTGAGTGGTCGAGGCGAGATGTGATGTACTTCCAATACCCGGGGGAGCTTTTCCTTAGAATGCTTAAGTGCTTGATAGTACCTCTTTTAGTTTCGTCTATTGTGTCTGCCATCGGTTCTCTAGATCTCAGTTTATCTGGCAAGTGAGTTGTGGTTTTTTATTAAGACAAAAAGTTCAGTTTAATATAAAAAAAATATTTAAAGAAATATAATAAATTTTTAAATATATGTATCAATTATAAGATTAAGGTCTTTAAACCAATATTTTAAAGTAGAAAAATTGGTGTTACGTAAAAATATATTTATATTAATTTTAATCTTTAGGGTTGGTTTGCGAGCCATTATTTATTACATGACCACGACAATCTGCGCGGTGATGCTGGGCATTGCCCTTGTCACCACTATCAAGCCTGGAAACGATCCCGAAGCGTATGCCCAACCAAATATCACCAAAAAACTCATCACCAAAGATACACTTACTTCGGATACTCTATTGGATTTGATAAGGTAATTTTATTTGAATTAATCATAAAATCTTTGCTAAAAATCTTAAAATGACCACTTTAATAAACAAAAATAAGAATAAGTTGAAAAATCGCTTAATTTTCTCCATTATAATTTATCTCAGTATGAGTATTTTTAACCCCCGACGCAAAAAGAGGGGTATTATAAGTTTGACGTCAATGTCTGTCTGTGTGTGTGTCTGTCTGTGGCATCGTAGCTCTCAAACGGATGGACCGATTTCGATGCGGCTTTTTTCATTTGAAAGCCTTCTGAGCTATGTTTGATTAATATCGGTCCCGCAGTGTAAGAGTATCAGCTCTTTTCTAAAATTATGTAAGGCATTTTGGCGTACGATTACTCTATTAAGTGTGTTCACGCGTGCCAGTGTAATCGTTAAAAGACAATTAATTTGCGTAGGGGTTTTTTTCTATTTTTAATTTATAATGCGTTATATAGCCCGTTTCATGTTATTATCAATTGATAGTTCGGAATGAATTACTCAATATCTTAATCATAGATGCCCTTTAATTAATCCAGGCGTTAGGGAATACCAAGTAGATAGATAACTTTGCGCTCAATATCCCATTACCAATTGTTATAAATGGTCAGATGAAATATCACACGTTGTTTGCGTATTCCCGTCGCATGATTGGCTTAATGAGAGTGTTAATTTAGCCATCCGGGCGAAATTTGCGAAAAAATTGAATAATAGCGCCAAATAATAAATTAGAACAAATTAAACGTTATATTCAGGATGATTCAGAAATTTTTCAAATAAAAGAAAAAACTAATTTACGTAAAGTTAGGTTTCGTTAGTAGTTGCGAATCATTTCTAACATGTTTATCACTTGCCTTACGGCGAAGGAAAACAACGTGAGGAAACCTGCCACCTGAGACAACCTCAAGTGTTCGAAAGACATGTGAAGTCCGCCAACCCGCACTTGGCCAGCGTGGTGGACTATAGCCTGATTCCCCTAGTACTGGAGGAAGTCCCGTGCCTAGCAGTGGGACGTTAAAAAGGGCTGAATAAAATACGTTTCCACAACTACAGTAGCTAGCTAATCTCCATAATTCCTAGATTTGTGATTGTGCGAAGACTTTGTCGTCTTCAACGATACCGCCTGGACCATGAAATTTACACTGAAAATATTTGCTCTTTTTTCCTGAAATTTACATTACATTCATAACATCGAATGGTTTTTTTATAGAACGCTTTGAATATATCTTAAATAGACTATAAGTAGTTGGAAACAGGATATTTTAAAGTTGAGCAAATTAAAGATGACAAAATGTCTGCTGGATTTAGACATGTCCGACTTAAAGTGGCATTTATCTGTTGCTTGTTTGTTAGTTTATTGGAGAGACGGTAATTGCTCATTTAATTTATACCTGACAGGTTAACTACCTTTTAATCTACTAGTATTAGAGTTCATCTTAAGATGATAAATTGTTAGGCACAAGTAAGTACCTACCTATTTTTAGTTATGTTAAAACCTGCTTATTACAATATTTGATTTACCTTAATATTGAAGTTTTGTGTAAAGTTTATTTTAATCAGGCTAATCGAGTATAATTTATGTTTTCCATACACATGTTAATATTTATATTACATTATTGATATATGTTTTAATTTTGATAAATAATATTAACGAAAATTTGTCAAAAAAGCTGCCAAATCCAACTAAATACACTCGTATAATCGACAATACGATGATATTTCCTATAAGGAATACGTTTAGAGCAAATTTTTTAGGTCTATTTTTAAATGAAGTCCGTCTATGTAAAATTATGGGCATTGTTGCCAACAAGGATAAATCACATATCGTAAATTATTCTTAATTATCAAGTTGTAAGAAAAAGTTCGATGGAAAAAAAGAACAATCAAAGATTAGTTTATTATAACTAATAAAATTAGCAATATAATGGCATAGACGAATAAGTGATATAATTGTTTAATCAAGGCGCCAATGTTCGCGCGAAGTTTCGTCGTAATTGTCAATTGTCAAGAGAAGCGACGCGCACGCCGGTTCCCTCCTCGTCAGTCTTCATCAACCCGCGCTATTTATATTGCGCCCTAGATACCATTACTAGGGCTGTCTATCTGCTAATCACTTTATTGTGTATGAAATTTAACGAGTTCAATCTTATATTATTAGCGCCTATGACTCTTGAAATGAAAAAATATTGTAGAAAAAGCCGGAAAGTCCAATGATTAGGGAATGACTTTGTATCTCTATTTTGTTTTCTTAAACGATGTATTGGTTAAGATAATTATTCAATTTTATATTTTTTATTATTATAAAATATAGAAAATAATTGATATTAAATGTAAAGAATCACGTTACCGCTGTATTTGTAATAGTACAATTGATACAATCCAAAGAATGAAAGGAAAAATAAATAAATATGTTGTTGGGACATTAACGCACAGCACCATCTGGTTCCATGGTAAGCTACGGCCTGTGAATAATAATATATGATCAGATAATTTTACAAGAGACCGTTCAGTTACATTTCTGACCGAGACTAATTCACTTGATTGGTCGTACGGTGCCTGACCCTATAGTATCAATAAAACAACGGCTCGACACACAACCGATCGTCAGACTGACAGGTGACATAGGTTACTCGATCGGGTCTAGATGCTTAGGTACTGAACAAGTAACGACTCGGTGCTCAATATTATAGCTGCGATTGGTGGGACTTAACTTTAATTAATTAATATATTATTAAAGCATTTTTGATTTTCATATCGTTTGTATAAAAAGCCATTTAGAATCGTATATTTCAATTTTCGAATTTTACAATTTTAGAGCTATCCAGAAACATCTCACATGCTTATGATATGATATTATAGATTTAAATAAAAAAAATGGGTGCGTGTAACCTTTACGCGCAGTTAATAAAAATTCCTTGGCAAATATCGCAATTACATTAAAACAAATCAATAATTAACTAAGGCATATTAGGCATATTACAATCATATATTTATAGAATATCATATACGGAAATAATATAATATTTTAAATTTGTCAGACATTAACAACGGTTACCATGGTAACAAGGCAATATATTTTATCTCATTCTCCGGCTTAATCCTATATATTTGTGTTTGTCTCCTTTTAGTGTCGCATTTTCGTTTCATCGAGTTTCAAATCACAACGATTCTAAAGAGGTTTCACTTAAAAAATGATAATTTGTACATTTAATTTCCAAGCAAATACTCTAAAACAACGTAATCATAATATAACAAATTAATAGACGTATATTACAAGCAATTACTCTATTATAATTATTGACTCCTATAGGATATAAACTTTAAGTTTAATTATTAGATTAAGTATTGTGATCATTTAGTTATTATATTTCTGTTTTATCTCTATTTTTATTTAGGGACTTTTATCCTTTTAGGACTTGTCAGTCCCATCGTATCTTAACCTAAGTACAATATATTATGGAAAAAGGAAAATAGATTCAATATTGCAAAACCATATCTACCAAAATTTTAACAACACAAATATATTTTATCATGCAATATTAACTTTTATCATCATAATGGTGAAAATTATTTGCAATATCCAAACATTGGTTTAGATATACAATGATTTAACATCACAGGAAGTTTTCGACCTTAGCACCGACAGTCGCACCTCCAATCTATTCATAAGATTTGTCCTTCTGTCGTTGAGCTATTGAATTATATAGGTATTAGAACAACCGTCCATCCGACAATTGTGCGACACGATGAATTACTAATATAAAATTGTATGAGTATTTTATATGTATGTTTTTGTGACTATATTTTATTATGGAATAATAGTTCAAGAATCTTAAATTTAAACAGCAAAGGGCAAACAACATAAAACTATAATCTAATCTATCAATCGATTAATTGTAATAATCGATGTATCTTTTCTCTTCAATTGTAACTTTCTTACTGGTTTAGATTTAAAATATTTAACGTATATTTCAGAAATGTATTCCCAGAGAATATAGCGCAGGCCACGATCGCGTCGTACAGGACGAGGCTAGTATACGACCAGAATGACACTAAGGCAATTAAAGGTGATTATTTCTGTTATGTATTTTTTGAGCGACTTCTAAAAAATAGGAGGTACTCGATTCAGGTATATGTTTTATTTTGTTAATGTTAGTCTATACTTTTTCGTGGCCATATTACCTTTATTTCAAAATTTTATCGGGCTAAAATCTATGATAACCTGACCGATTCCGGCCACGGCAGCCAATCTCATTGAGACTAGCCAACTGTGCAGAAGATATTATAGTGCACAAGTGTACGCGCAGACAACGCGCACTCTCTATTCCTGTCACTGTCATACTCTGGTGGGACGACCACTCGACACGACCAGTGAGAGTTAAGTCGCAGGACCGACGGCTTTACGTGCTCTCCGAGGCACGGGGTTGGAACACCGCCAACTTCCCAACTCCGGGCTGTTATTGAGGCTTAATATACAGAAAGACTCAATAACTAAACTTGGCCCGACCTGGGACTATTATATATATATATATATATATATATATATATATAATTTTAATCATATAATATGTATATGTCTATATATTTCATACTTATCGTTAAAACGTACCGTAGTTGAGTCGCTAGTGCCTTACACTTACGTACATATATAGGATGGCACTATGGAGTTACAAGTTGATATTGTTTCTATGTGACATTTACGTGCCTTGAAGACGTAAAGGCATTGATTTAGTCTTAAGCCCATATGTGTTGAGCTGAGAGAAGAGTAAGAAAATAGGGATTACAATTTTGTGTGTACTATAATTTTTTATGTATCTATCTTTGTCATAGTCAAATTTTCTCTTGCAGGAAATCAGACATCATTAATTAATTTCAGAATAATAAAACTCAATATATTTTTGGCATTTTACAGGACATTTAGAAACATACAAAATAGAAGGTAATTATCAGAGTGGAAGCAATGTGCTAGGCTTAGTATGCTTCAGCATCGTACTTGGAATTACGCTGGGAAAAATGGGTGAACAGAGTAGACCATTGCAAGATTTCTTCCATGCTTTGTCGGAAGCTATGATGATTATCACTGGATGGGTTATTTGGTAACACAGCTATTTTTCTTATTATATACCACTTTTGCTTTACTTTTATGATTTTATGAACCATTATACATTGTTAAATGTTGTGACAATAACACACAACACCATCTAGTTCCATGGTAAGCTACGAGGCATGTGTTGTGGATACAAGATAGTTGATACACTACACAATATATTATATAACATTAAATACGTACATATTAAATATAAACACCCATGTCTTGAGTACAAACATTCGTGCTCATCACACAAATGGATGCACCTAGCGGGACTCGTTCTCACAACGGCTGGCACAGCAAAAAAGGTCACTACAAACTGAGCCTAACGTATCGTTAAAATATATTCCTCAAAATATAATTTCAATTGTCCAATCTGATTCTTAATTATATATAAAAAATCTGCATAATAATTTGATTTGACAAACTTGGCTTAATTAAACTTTACCATTATAATACCACTTTTTTTGTCTTATTTTTCAAATACCAAAATACTACATAGCCCATCTTTTATTTTCAGGCTATCTCCTCTAGGTGTTTTCTTTTTGATCACAGCAAAAATTATGGAAATAGACTCTTTCGCGGAATTAGTCGGTCGATTGGGACTTTACTTTATGACAGTACTATTAGGGCTATTCATTCATGGTTTCGGTACTTTGAGTATTTTGTTCATACTTGCCACCAAGAAACTGCCGTGTAGATATATTGCTAAAATGGGACAAGTTATGGCGACGGCATTTGGAACTGCTTCAAGGTAAGACCTACAGTAAAATAGTAAATATATTAATCTTAGCTAATTATATCTATATGTCGAGTTTATATGGTTATTTACACGACACCTAAGCCTAAAGTTTTATTTGTCTATTGTACCTACTAACTTCCGAAACGGTTGAGCTAATATTAACGGGATTTTAACGGGGAATAGAAAATTCGAGCAAGAATATGGTTGCTGGCGAGGCTGCTTCTTTCGCGGGATGAATGCTTGACCGACACACATATCCTGATCTAGTTAAAACAAAGTACAATGTTCGTTAAAAGTTAAGGGCTCTATTTATACCACAAAGAAAAAACGTATGATAACGAAAAAGAATTTAAGGTTAAATTAGAATGTATTAAATGGATTTTGCAAAAACTTGACTTGTCTTTCTTAGGACATATAACCCTGTTTTATGATGTCACTGGAAATAAAAATCAAAGGGGTTCTTACCCTTATTAAAATCACTATCGGAAACTTGACGAAGCACTAGTAAGACACGGGGTTTTGGATACACTACAAGGCTATATAATATTTTCTTATATAAGGACCCTAGCATAAATAAGCCTAATTTAGGAAACAAATTCACGACTCAGACATTAGTAATTAATTAACCGACTTCCAAAAAGGAGGAGGTTATCAATTCGTCGGAATCTTTTTTTCTTTTTTTTATGTATGTTCACCGATTACTCGAAGACGCCTGAACCGATTTGGATTTTTTTCTTGTTTCAAAGGGTGTATAAATTTTATTGAAATCGGTCGAGGGGTTTTTTTAAAAATCAACAATAAATATATTTTTTAAATAAATTATTTAATCGAATATGTTATTAAAAAACTTTCTTTTTACAAATTACCTGCTTACTTCGAAAATATCTGATTAGGTATCTATTCTAAATGAAAACCCCCGTTTAGTTATTTTTTTCATTTTAGTGTCTGGAAGTCGGTTTTTATTTTTTTTTTAAGTTTTTTATATAAATTAATCCAATATTATGTCTTTCTAGTTCAGCAACAATGCCTATAACGATTGGTTGCTGCGACGAAATGGGTCTTGATCCGCGAATAACTCGCTTTGTTATTCCCATCGGCGCTACCATCAATATGGATGGGACTGCGCTGTATGAGGCAGTGGCAGCCATTTTCATTGCTCAGTTAAGGAAAGTTGACATGTCTTTTGGCAAAATTATTGCTGTGAGGTAAGGGGTAATTGCTTACTTACTTTCTTACATTTTCATTCCCAGAACTAACACGACTTGAGCTCCTTTCACTATGTGTTTAGAGATTATTATTATACAAACAGTTATATTATACATATAGTAATAATTCAATATAAAAAATTAAATAAAGTAAAAAATCTAAATATTATTCTGTCTACCCGATATATTTCTAGTGTAACAGCTACAGCGGCTAGTATAGGCGCTGCGGGGATTCCCCAGGCGGGTCTGGTCACCATGGTGATGGTGTTGGACACTGTTAACCTGCCCGCTGAAGATGTTTCCATCATTTTAGCGGTCGACTGGCTGCTGTGCGTATATTTTTCCTACAGTAAAATAAATGACACTAATTTATAATGGTCACTTTACAAAACTTCACTTCACTTACAAACTTTCACTTTAAAAAAGTTTTTTTTTAACTTTTTTATTTAAATTATTTATAAATAAATAAGGCAGTTAGTCTCTTATGCTACTTGTTACTATCTTAATAAAAAATATATTTTATTGTGCAGTGACCGATTCCGCACAACAATCAACGTGGTGTGTGACGCTTTAGGCGCGATCATCGTCACGTCTCTATCGCAGGGAGACATAGAGAAAACGCGCGCGTTACACAACGACAGGGAACTTGCGGCTGCGCACGAACTAACTGAGCTGGAGAAGGGCGAGCATTGAACCAGCTCGATATGACCGGATACTGTGATGTTGAGAATAACGATCGTTATCGTTATTTTGAATAACGTTATTAGTTTTGTTATTTAAATATTATGTATCTTAATTTATAATAATAACGGATAGTGTCGTTAATATGATTTAATACTTAATGTATTAAATAAAGCTGTATTATGTATGTATGTTTACGTACTTTTAACGAATTGATATGTATTTATTAAAAACATATTTTTATTATATAATTTTTATTATACATAAAATTATTGTAGTAGTATAATTATATAAAGCAATATGCTTTATAATATATAGGTGCCGGTCATATCCAAGTATCATAACGGTTAAGCGTTCTGTGTTCAATAACTTAAACGTTATTCCGTTTCAGGACAATAACGTATAAGTAAGTAGTGTGGATTGTTTTGTGATTTATTTATTACGTAGCGTTCGTTGATATTAATATTGTTTGGGATATGGTCAAACACTACAAAATTTTGTTGTATTTTATGCATCTATAGGTTGGTATGTTTTAAAGATAGCTTGATTAGATTGTTATTTACTGGACGTACATTGTATGCAAAATTGTTAGTTTAAGATTTTTCTCAAAAGAAGCAAAATAAAATTCTCCTTTGAAATCCTAAATAGCTCCTCGTTTTTTATAATTATATGTTTTCTTGGGTATTACTGATGTTTTTTTTATAATGAACGCCTATAAATATTATAGATTCAAAAAGAAAGTTAATTTATTCATACGTATCTTTGACGTCGATCTAATTAAAACATATTTTGACTTACGTACATATATTAGCGATGTCATATTATAGTTTGATGTTAAAAATTATTACTTCGATTTGTAGTTTCGTGTTATATGTTTTAAATATTATAATTTAAAAATATGAGACGTTTTAAATCGACATAAGTATCAAAAATGTATCAGTGAGTCTTTATGTGCCAATATATCGAACGGCGCAGCTCTCGTGTTGCACATATTCTTATAAAAGCATTTTCATAAAAAATATTGTATTATCTTTACGTTTCTTTTTTTTGTAAATTGTATTCTATATACAATTTTTATTAAGTTTATAGTCATCTACTGATTATGTCACCATTTAGCTTTTCTGTTAGTTTTATCGATTGAACGATTTTAAATAATGATGAGAGAGAGAGAGAGAGAGAGAGAGAGTTGAGAGCTGTCCATCTATTTTTGTATGAACGTATTATGAACCTTTACAAGAATGTTTGTAGTACTTTCTATCTTATCTACATATTATATAAGAGCATGTCCTGATGGAGTTTCGGTAAAAATAAGCGATTGAATTTATTTTTAAGTTAATTGATTATTTGGTTGTATAACTTATATTTTTATCACGACGTCACGCGACAATTGTCAAATGTGTGTATCTGTATTCTTTCTACGCTATATACAGAGAACTAAATGTGCCATAATATAAGATTATAGTCTAGTTCAGTCATGCCATTGCATTCCAATTTAACTTATGGTTACATCCGATAACCTTAGAATATTTAACGATAACGATTTCCGATAACCTTATAAAATTTTATGCTTATATTTATTTATAATCGTTAAGAACGATTTAAAAGATAGAACTTTGTATTGAATACGTAATTATTGTAACATTTGAAAATTATATTAAATAATTGGTTGTTAATTATAAATAACTGCAGAGGTTCGATTATATTCTCGTTTTATCTGGATCGAATGAAAAATTGAAAATTATTATTTTATTATTTCTTAATAATCTACCCAATATTGTAAATAAAATCATTTTTTTGAAAATATCTGGTTAGATATCAGATATTACTCATTATCAAAGACGCCTGCCACCTTTGATAACTGACTATATAAAACGTCGATGGGAAAGATTGAAAAATACTTCCTCACTAACGTTCAGTCATGGGACTAAACTAAGAAAGACGAATTAATCGAGCCTACTGTTTAATATAATACACAGAGTATCCCTAAAATGGCCAAAAATTAGTGTTTAAGGTTATTGTTTAGATGTAAGTAAATAAAAATGGAATTCTATATCTATCAGATTTATTTACGTGAGTATAATCAATATATAGAGTTAAATTAGAAATTATTAGATGTCAAGTAACTGGTTATTTTATTGTAATGAAGTCATCGACTACTCTTACTCTCATTATATATTAACGCTAAAGATAATATTAACTCTTTAATATTTTAATTACATTAACACTTTGCAAGTCGATTGGTACTGCCAGTTATATGACCAAAACAAACTCTAACTTAAGTACAAATCATTGTAGATTTTTTATATCAGTGTTTATAATCTTATTTTTAATTCATACTACTGTCATCTTTTGAAATGTTATTTTAATAAATACTTACTCTAGTGCATTTTTTTGTTTATTCATCACTATAAGGTTTCAGGTAAATAAAAGTCGTTATCATTTTATATTTTATTTATCAAATATCTCTTGCACTTAAGGCTTATTTGGTATAAAATCACCTCTTGACTAATGAACCGTCTCTTATCACCTCACAGCCAACTTACGCTTTATTTTACTTAAACAATATTTAAAAAAGATACAATGAGTATATTGTTTAAATTATAATGTCCGTCAGTCAGTCTTAGATAAAAAAATAACAAAAATCTTTGGAAATGTATTTTATAGTATAAATATGAGTATCTTCGTTAATTGCATCTATAAAGGAATGTTCAATGAACTAAAGTCTAACTAAATTAATAGTTTCTAAAATAGACATTAATTTACAGTTTTACTGTATAAATTCGCAAGGAATAACGCTATACAACTCCCTCCTAATGACGCCCTACACATATTTTTACATGATCTGTAGAGCTAAATATCGAATTATAAGAATAATTGGGTTTTAAACACTTTCCATAAAAATTGGTCCTCTCTATATGTTTTAGGTTTCGATATATGATATATAAAAAAATTTAATGAAAATAATTTTACAAACAGACAGACACATGTCAAAGTTACAAAATATTACAGTAAAGTTTTAAATTACTACAAATGATTCGATATTTAGCTTTTACAAACAACAACTACATATATACAAAAATAAGTTTTAACTTAATTTACACAAATACGACCTTACCTATTTTATAGATATGTATAAAAGCTTAAAGCTCTCTTTCAAACTTTAAAAATAATGATACAGAGAAAGAAATATCATTTCCGTTTAAAAATAGAATACATTATCTTTATACATGATGTTCTCCTGGCCGATTCAGGCCACGGCGGCCAATCTCATTGTGACTAGCCAACTGCGCAGGAGATATTATAGTGCACAAGTGTACGCGCAGACACAACGTGCACTCTCTATTCCTGTCACTCTCATACTCCGGTGGGACGACCACTCGACACGACCGGTGAGAGTCAAGGCGCAGGACCGACGGCTTTACGTGCTCTCCGAGGCACGGGGGTAAAACACCGCCAACTTCCCAACTCCGGGCTGTTACTGAGACTTACTATACAGAAAGACTCAATAACTAAACTTGGCCCCACCCGGGACTCGAACCCAGGACCTCCGAGTGTGCAGCCGTACATGCTAGCCACTACACCACCGAGGCAGTTAAACATTATCACTATTAAAGATAACTCTTTATACATATATCACTATTAAAGATAACGGAACGTTAAGTTAACGGTAACAACGAGTAACATTTTTCTCATCACTGAGTCCGTACGCGTCTGATACCGGCAAATCGCTAAACGATCCCGTTAATGTTATTATTGTTGTTGTTGTTGTTGAAGTTCTTATGGGATCCATTATGATTAAAAGTAGAGTCCCGTCGGCTAAACCTTTCACTTTGTATGGAACTCCTCGCTCTGGCTAGAGTCGCGGCGGATATTTCCATAGAATCGCCGTGGGGGAACCGTGAACCTCTTCTCAAGCCGTTTTGACATCGTGTATTCTGGGAAACCGAAAGAATTTTTTTTTATATCCATTTATTTGTAGTTCTTTCTGTAATATGATAAATAATAATAACAAAACGTGATAAAATAATATTTTCAACTCATTTAAATATAACAAGTTACAGCTACATACATAAAAATTCATTTATTATATATTATTATATAGATCCCCCTCATGGGTTCCAAACATTTAAGAATTATAACAGAACGAATGAAAACGCAGGCATGTGGATGTTTTATTAAAAATAAATCACAATGAATCATATTCACTCGGTTTCCCAAGTGAGCGTGTTACCACTGGGCTACTACTGTCTCACTTAAAAATTAAATAAAGAAATACTTATTTTACTAGATAATGAAAAATCCTAAATCTTACTCACGGGTCCCGAACGCCACGTCCAGCGGTTTCTGTTGAACGCTCCATACACTATAGGGTTTGCGCAAGAATTTGTACACGAGAACAGCCACATCGCTTTCTGGAAAGCTGGGTCTAGACTTTGCACTGACTTTTTGTCTATCCAGTACCTGCACATATGTACATATAGTTTAAAAATATATTTTAATCTAGAATAAAACTATTTCCTAACGTTGTATTTCCCAACGTTAAAAAAAGAGGTGAACTATTCCGAATTAGTGTTTTTTTTAAATATATTCAAAGTTACTTTCTTAATATTTCAACCTTAGGTATAAATTTTTCTTTTTTATACGAGTATCAATGCACCCTTGAAGAGGAGAAAGGAAAAAAGAATTATGAAAATCGGTTCACAATCAGCGAATATACCTACATATATACGTTTTTCGTAACAAAAACACACGCAAGTACGCCCTCGAATTGTGTAATTCTTCCTTTTTTTGAAGTCAAATAAAAAATATGGAAATATCTGATGTTAATTACTTACGACGTAAGTAAAAATAGCTTTAGGCTCATATCGAGGACAAATCGAAAGAGTATAAAGACTCCTATACTACCTATTTGGTTTTCAAGTTGTTGATTTTCATAGCGAGCATTATAACAGTGTATATATAATAAGCACAAACTTTATAATTTAATATCCATTTTATATTTAATATCAACTTACCACATACAGTAGCAGTAGTATGGCGACCAGCACGCGAAGAAGACTAGAACAATAGTGACTGTCATTTTGAGGGTCCTCGCCCTCGCACGCCCGAGGATGCCCACCCCGCTGCGGCGCATTTTGTCTGAAACCACGATCGTACTGATATTAGCAAATAAAATCAATTATACAGTGGAAACTCGATTATCCGGACTAATTGTTGTCGGTAGGCATTCGGATAATCGAAAATCCGGATAATCGAATGTATGAAAAAAAACGGTTTTCGTACATATTACATAATACCTAATGTTGGTGTTTAATTTAAATCAACTAAAGACAAATCAACATTTATTTAACCATTGGTGAATGGTAACTATAACAAAAACGCGGCGACAGCGAACGGGCAGGGCGAGGGTGGGTACGGGCGGTCGCCAGTTCCGAAGTTATTTGATCGCCATGGGTAGTCCGGATAATCGCGAATCCGTATAACTGAGGACCGGATAATCGAGTCTCTACTGTATTGACTTTATTGATTATATCCTGGTTTAATAATTAAAATAGTAGCAATTTCGTATCATACTGTGGATTTAAATTCATTATTTTGTTTGATACGTCGTTTAGAGATCATTGGACTTTGTTAGCCAGATCATTTTATACTTATACTAGCATTGCCCGCGGCTCCAACCGCGTTTAGATGACCAAAAACGAAATTCTTAGGTAGTACATATTAAGTATACTATTACATTACAGTTTTTTTATTTTTTTTTCAGAAATAAGATATTTTCTCGGGGTAAAAAGTAATTGAGCCCGAATAACCAGTTATCATCATATCAAATTTCATCAAAATACCTCCAGTACTTTTTCTGTGATGCGGTAACAGACAGACAAACAAAAATTCTAAAAACTATTAGATTCGGCCTCTGTATCTGTATCTGTATGATTCGGCTTAGTTACAATTTTATTATATGTATAGATTATAAATGAGAAAGCAATTCTCTCTCTTTTTGTTACTATTCCACGCTTAAACAGATTTCTATTAAATTTGGCAAGGATGTAACCGCCCCGCTTATTATGCGAGCAAAGCTAAGGGCAAAATGATCAGTATTTTAACATTTTTGTACACATTAAAATTCAAACTTGAAAACTTATAGGTATATTTTAAATTATTTTTAACTTACATCTGCGATATTTATTTATCCAAACTAATTTTAGAGCCCCAAGAAATGCCGAACAGCTTTTTACATTGCCGTATTATGGAGCCAACGAACTAAAAACTATATTATTAGTTCGTTATATATTCGTTCGTAAAAAAACATATCTACAAATTGCATATTATATTCAAAATTTTATTTAAAAATATGTGAAAAATAAGGATACGTATCACTGATCACACCTCTCACCCTCAAAGCTTACGCTAGTACAAACGATATGATCAAAATATCTGTATTGACAACAAATTGACATTCGGATTTCGGGTACACGAGGGACATTTCAATACCCGTCCATTCAGAGACACGTGTGCTGATTAAAGTAGGAAATCGATGTCATATGAATTCTGAAGCATTTTTCTTCAGACCTTTTATATAAGAAAATATTAATGTTACAAATGTAGGAAGGAAGTTAGGTGATTTCATATTTGTTGTTTAATCACGTAACAGAATAGATTTAGAATAAATTGAATTTTTGTAAAAGACTTTTGTCTTTTTTAAATACTTATATCTTTCTATATGTCATTTATATTTTGGCTGTCTTACTAATAATAAAATAATAATAAGAAAAGTGCGTTTTAGTGTTGGTTTGTTTGCTAATTATTTACACGTGCCATTAAATTAATTTGGAGAAATTTTTTCCTTAATTTTAAAAATAAGTATAAATAACCTTTTACTGCGGAATACAAAAAAACGTCGTTAGAGAAGATGAAAATGTGATTTTAAGGTAGATTAGTATTACTATTATTGTATTTCAATTTTCCTTTTAAAGTAGATGCTTCCAGATAATTAAGTAACGGAACCAAAAGAATAACAAAGACATTTATATATTTTTATCATTTAATTAATTTATTTAATTAATTTTTTTAATTAAATTTAATTAATTTTTATCAATTAATAATTATAATTATTGTTGATTGAACGCCATTTTAAATTTCGTTTAAACGAAATAAATTTATTTTTATTTTTTATTAATTAAAAATTAAAACTATGTAAACTTTTTGTAAATTGTTTACTCTGTGTTTTTGATTGTTACTGAGAAGGGGCTATCTTTGATTATTGTGTCTGTTTCCAATTATGAGTAATACGCTTAATATACTTTACCAGAATGTACGTGGATTAAGAACAAAAACTAATACATTTTTTCGGAATTTGATGCAGCAGGATAATGATATAATTTGTTTGACTGAGACATGGTTACACGAAGGCATATTTGACTCTGAAATTTTTGAGTCTCGGTACTCCGTATACAGAAGCGACAGGTGTTATCACTCACGTGGTGATAAAATGGGCGGAGGAGTTTTAATTGCCGTTAGCTCTAATCTTTCTGTCTATTCCACTTCACCTATCATTTTAACAAATAATGCGGCTAAAATAATCAAAGTGTCAATTGTAACCAGTTCTGGTCCTCCTATGAAACTTCTGCACATATACTGTTGTTACTTTCCACATTGTAGCTCTCAGTATTAAGTACTCTGTGAATTGTATGATAGTGTTTCTCATGATCGTCTCTGTTATGCTGATGATAGCTTTTTGTTGCTGGGTGATTTTAATATTTCTGGGGCTACTTGGTCAAAAGAAAGTAACTATATGATTATTAATAATTTTAGTTCTGGTAATGAACTAATTAATTGTCTATATAACTTTCTTCAATTTACTGATTTTAAGCAATATAATTCCATTTCAAATGAGAATGGACGATTCTTAGACCTTGTTATTAGTAGTTGTGATAGTTTGGTTCATAGATGTATTGTTCCGCTGGTTGAAGAAGATGTTCACCATCCTGCATTGCAAATTCAAATTACGACGCCATCATCAAAACGTGATATATTTACAACCCGTAAAATACGCTTGTATCGTCAAGCAGATTACGAGGCAATCAATGAAGCTATACAGTGTGTCGATTGGTACGATATCTTAAATGACTGTGATGTCTCCCGGGCGGTTGATACGTTCTATGAAGTTATAAATTCTATAATCACTGATCTGGTTCCTGTGAAGATATTGAAGTATACAAATAATTATCCGTGTTGGTATACTCGTCCTTTAATTAAATTGATTGCTGAAAAATTAAAATACCAAAAAAGAAATGGAAGATCTACAATAGGATATCTGATTACCACTCATTTGCTCTTCTACGGGAACGTCAAAAAATAATCCAAGTTCAATGCTATGATCAATATATTTATAATGCGGAAATTAAAATACGTAGTAACAGTAAATATTTTTGGTCTTTTATGAAATCAAAGAAATCGTCTTCAAGTCTACCTAATAGCGTATTTTTATTTGATCGTACTGCTGGGGAAGGGGAAGAGATGTGCTCACTTTTTAATGAATATTTTAAATCGGTTTACGAAACTCAACCCACTACACAATCACTTAAAATATACACAGATTGTAAAAATTTTAATTTAAATATTGGCCATATAGATTTGTCAGTATCGACCGTTAAAAAATATCTGAAATCACTAGATATTAATAAGGGCTGTGGACCGGATGAGATTCCTCCGGTATTTTTAAAGCAATGTTACAAATCCTTAGGTTATCCAATTTCGCTTCTTTTTAATAAATCATTACGTTCAGGCACAATGCCACTTGTTTGGAAGCGCTCGTTCGTTGTACCTATTTTTAAGTCGGGAGATAAACATAATGTTCAGAACTATAGGCCCATCTCTAAATTATGTACTATAGCTAAAATGTTCGAAAAAATTATCTATGACAGTATCTTTCCAATTGTAAGAGGTATTTTGATTAGTGAGCAACACGGTTTTGTTAGTAAAAGGTCTGTTGAAACAAATGTGTGTGAACTAGTTCATCGTGTGGTGAAAGACATGGACGCTGGTGCTCAAGTAGACGTCATCTACACCGATTTCTCTAAGGCTTTCGACAAAATTTCTCATACTATCCTATTGAGTAAATTAGAGCAAGTTGGTATTCACGGTGATCTTCTTCGGTGGCTAAGCTCTTATCTCCACAATAGAAGTCAGGCTGTGACAATAAAGGGTTTTTGTTCAACGTTCGTTCCCGTTCCTTCTGGTGTATCACAGGGCTCTCACCTTGGCCCCTTGCTATTTAATATTTTTATAAATGATATTTGCCAAATATTTGATCATTCTTCTGTACTATTATTTGCAGATGACATGAAAATCTTTAGAAAGATCTCTAAACTATCTGATTGTTTACTATTACAAGAAGATCTTAACAAATTATGCAAATATTGTAACGAGAATTTTCTTTCTCTGAATGTTAAAAAGTGTAGCACTATTTCTTTTACTCGTAAAATATCGCCGACTAATTATGATTATCACCTAAAAGGTGAAATTATTACCCGTGTGTCTCAGGTGAGAGACTTGGGTATTTACCTGGATAACAAATTAACATTTAAGTTTCACGTAGACTATATTGTTGCTAAGGCCTATCGAATGCTTGGTTTTATACTAAGAGTTGGTAAAGAGTTTAAACATTATTATACGCTTATTATTCTGTATAATAGTCTAGTACGCTCGATATTGGAATTTGGTTCATCAATCTGGAACCCACAATATAAGGTATATATAAATTCTATAGAAAAAATACAACTTAAATTTATAAAATATACTCAATATAAATTTTATAGTCACGATCAATGTCCACCTAATATTAGACCTTTAGAGATGCGACGCACGCTTAGAGATCAAATTTTTCTTTTTAAACTCTTAAATAATTTCATTGATAGCCCTTTCTTATTAAGCTGTTTGAATTTTAAGGTTCCAAAATTTAGTAAGCGTAACCACGATATTTTTGACCTGCCATGTACTAGAACGAAATATGCTCGAAATACCTTTATACTTCGCTCATGTAATGAGTATAATAAAAAATTTACAAGTATAGACATATTTTCAAATTCACTTTTAAGTTTCAAAAATTGTATTAATAACCTATTGTTTAATTGTTGATTTTGTATTTTATGTATTTTATATTTTTCCTTATTTTTTATATTTTTTTATTATTCGTGTTAAGCAGTGTTTCATTTTGTAATTTTTTAGTTTATTGTTTAGCTTCTTGTTTTTCTCTTTTTCATTATTGTCTGCTTCTTAAGTGTATTGTTTATTTGTGGAAACTTCATTGGTTTATGTGTCATCTATTATTATTAATTATTTATGTAATATCGTACTGTTTGTTTCCCTAAAAAAATAAATAAATAAACTATATAAAAACTACGTTAGTGTAAACAATATTTCGAAAAAAAATGTTCATAAACAACAATGTAGGCTACGTCCTTAGGAGCAGGTTGATAAAAAACCATATTACTGTTCCGTAATGAAGAGTAACGTCATTACACCAAACATAATTAAAAAGACACGTCTGAAGCATGCTTTATACATCCTAAGACAGTTGTCAAAACATTTCCAGAGAGGCATCGAAATTACTAGAGGGTTCGAGATGTAGCCAAGAACAGTTAATCGTAAATTGCCGTGTGCAAAAGAGAGGAAAAAAACATTCGAGAAAGGCATCGAAATTACTAAAAGTTTTGAATTCAGATAAAACAGTTGTTCGTAAATTGCCGTGTGTAAGAGTGAGAGAGGCACAAAACACTCGAAACGACTAAAAAGGTTTCGAATTTTCGAATACTAGAATGTTCTTTGCTTATGCATATAAAAAAGGCCGGCAGTGTGTCGAGAGATCATTTGAATTTCGAAGCTGAAACTGAAGTGAAAACTGAGAAGAAGTACAAAAAAGTGAAAAGTGAAGAAAAGTGGAGTGAAATTATAGTGTAAGTATATCCAGTAGTGAAAATTAGTGTTCAGTGACTGAGTTTAACTAGAACTGTATATATACTGCGTATTATATTGCGTAACTGCGCGTATGAAAGTCCATAAGTCTGTCTTGTTAACCAAGAGCAATAAAACATCAATAAAGTGCAAAACCTGTGCTTTAATTTCCGATTCCCGAACTCATAGGACGTAATATTACTATGTAATACCTATAAATAGTTTAGAAATTATATTAAAAATATTTGTATTTACGTAAAATGAAACTTGTATTTCTCTAAAACAAGCACAGTTGCTTTTGCAATTCCATTTATGCTTTATTATTACTTTGTAACATTATTTTTAAAATAAAAATGCTTTGAAAAGTCTATTTGAATAAAGTATAATTTGATTGATTTATTATACAAACTCAGACTAAGGAATAATATAGACGGAGCTTCATAGAACTTAACATGAAGTCAAAAAATAGATGTTTTAAAATAACATAATTCGTTGGCTCACAATTACAAGGTTCTATGTTACAATTTTAGTACTTATTTAGTTATTAATGCTACAAGGTTCTATGTGTCATTAGCTACAGTTTTGCAAAAGCAAACCACTAGATAGCGGCACTTTAACTACAAAATATTCAATTTTACATAGTTCTATGTTGTTTTTTTGGCACAAAATAACGAAGTTCTATGTAAAAATTACTAAACTTTATTAAAATTAACATAGAGCTTTGTAATAGTGAGCCAACGAATTATGTTAGCCAATCGTTGACATCCAATAACAGATAAGTAATTTTAAATAAAACTATCTTTTCGGATTTTGTCGCGGATTTATTTGGATTTTTGTTTCCCGACGTTTCGAATGCTTTACAGCATCCATGGTCACGGGAGAGACTGAGGTGTTACATGTCTTGAATGTATAGTGTTACAGAGAGCCTACACAATTAACAAAATGAAATTGCACCAATTACATTACAATTATTGAGACTTTTATAACATATTAAACATTTTTATAATTTTAATTATAATTGAAGTGATTACAACATTATTTATTTAACGAATAGTACGCTATTATTTTTATAATTACATTACAATTTTAAAATATTAATTAGTAATCTATATTTAGTGTTGCCATTATTATATTTATAACCATAAAGAAAAATATAAAATGTAGTCTTACATTATTGACAAGCCATATAATTGTTCTATGTGTAATTTAAAAAAGTTAAAATTAATTACAGGATAATAATTTTAATTTAGTTTGCTATTTTTAAAAACAACTTACTAAGCAACACTATTAATATATACTTTTACAAATGAAAAATGAAAAATATTAGTCTGATAAGCTGTCATTTTGATCTACACAGTATGAACTTACTACATCTGCCTGTCTGTTATGTTTATATTTATTATTTGATTTTATTATATCAATAACAGGATCCCATGACGATGGTAGTACCCAGCCATCTTCCCTATTGAAATTAGGATGTTTTTTAATTTCTATGGCTTCTCGAATCATTCTAGGGCGATATCGGTTTTCTTTCGCCAGGATTTGAGGTCTATCGAAGCGAATATAATGGCGCCCAAGCCATAAAATCAAATAATAAATATAAACATAACAGACAGGCAGATGTAGTAAGTTCATACTGTGTAGATCAAAATGACAGCTTATCAGACTAATATTTTTCATTTTTCATTTGTAAAAGTATATATTAATAGTGTTGCTTAGTAAGTTGTTTTTAAAAATAGCAAACTAAATTAAAATTATTATCCTTAATTAATTTTAACTTTTTTAAATTACACATAGAACAATTATATGGCTTTAATAATTAATACTACATTTTATATTTTTCTTTATGGTTATAAATATAATAATGGAAACACTAAATATAGATTACTAATTAATATTTTAAAATTGTAATAATTATAAGACAATAATAGCAAATCATTTTGACAATTGAAATTGACGTTTTCCATATTCAATTATAATTAAAATTATAAAAATGTTTAAAGTTTAAAATAATATTGTAATGTAATTGGTGCAATTTTCATTTTGTTAATTGTCGTAGGCTTCTGTAACAACTATACATTCAAGACATGTAACACCTCAGTCTCTCCCGTGACCATGGATGCTGTAAAGCATTCGAAACGTCGGGATAACAAAAATCCAAATAAATCCGCGACAAAATTAAAAGATAGTTTTATTTAAAATGTCAAATTATTCGCGTAAATCTAAGAAAGTATTAACAGATAAGTAACCTAAAGTTATTATAATATCGCTGTCAGAAAATCTTGCAAGCAAAATAATTATGAAATTATTCACGAAATCGATCCGAGTTGGCGAGACAGGCATTCCATTGACACGCGGAAACTGGAAATACAAATTTCTGAGGGTATACTAATAAGCAATCAAATACAAATCAATTGCTATTGACAAAATACTTTCTTAGATTTACGCGAATACTTGACATTTTAAATAAAACTATCTTTTCGGATTTTTTGCGAATTTATTTTGATTTTTGGTTCCCGACGTTTCGAATGCTTTACAGCAATCATGGTCACGGGAGAGTCAAAATATCTTAGGATAGTAATTAAAATAATTACCTACAGATTAATGTTATTTAGCTTTTAAGGTTTATTTATAAAGGTTCGTTGAACCAGATAAGGACGTAATCTAAATGTCAAATCGACCAATTGTTGGAATCGATCCCTTTCAATTTCGATGTTTGGTAGGAAGTTTTCTTTTATCATAAAACGTAGTATCTTTCTGCCAAAGGAAAATATTATTTATTTATTATTTAAAAGTTATGCAAATTACAAAATTTTACAATTTTTTTTTTATTTTTTAAATATCTCGAAAACTATTATAGCTACAAAAAAGTTCTTGGGTTCTTTTTAAAGAGAATAATTGGGGATATAAAAAAATATTTCTTATGCATACTTATTTTCTTACACAAATGCCAAATTTGCGGAATTTCGAATTTTTAAAAATCGTCATGAATTTTGCTTTTTTTATTATTTAGTAAGTAGTGAATTTTTTTATCGAGATAATTACCATGGGAGACTTCACCAGAGATACATATTATCCATGATATTTACACTTCTTGTGATTAATTAAAAATTAGTAGAAAAAAGTGTTCGATTGGATTATTTAGGAATGAAAAATGCTCCAAAGGAAAACTAATTGATTGTCAAAAAATCTGATCAAGATTGCATTTCTCTAGTAAGATAATGAAAAATTTAAAGCTACATAAAAATAAAATTATTATACCACCAACAAAATAATTTATAAAGTTTTCAATTCATCTTTGTTAATTTATTGGTCTATTATTTAGTTGTTAAGTTGCTAGATAGCATTTAATCAAAATTCTCACTGTAATTTTTATTAAAGACGTACATAACAAAAAGGTAGGTAAATGATACAGTACCTAAGATAGGCTATGGAAGTCCTGTAAACATTTTATTTTTACGTGGAAACTACTGCCGATTCGATTTAATTTTTATTAATTAATAGGTCCAGTGAAGTATAAAAATTCTATATAAATTTTCCGACTCCTGTTGGGGTCTTTGGGAAGCGATTGAAGCCACATACAATAGATAGTATTATAATGTCGTCTATAACAAAGTAGAAAACCGAATTTTCTCCCCCACTTCGCTTTAATGAAGTTATCTCAGAAATAGAGATTGGTAAATTAAAACAAGATCGCAGAAACTTTTGAATAAGATCAATTACCACGGGCTCTACAATACGCCCCATTTATATATTTTTTATTTCCAGTTTATACATTTATTATAATAATATTAAATTTTAGTAATTCTTTGTAAAGTGATCGCAATTACTGTTTAATATAAAAATAACAAGAAAAAATGGTGCTTAATGAAATTGGCCTACGTCTTAATTAAATGATTAATATGAAGTTAATTGTACGCTGCTTGAACTCGGTATAAATTCTTATAATGCGTCGGAAGAACAAAAAAATAAATAAAATAAGGACGTATGATTCATATTTATATCAATTATAAACTAAGTAATCCTTATAAAAAAAGTTTATATAAATAATAAATAAATAACTATAATTAATTTTGTTTAGAATAGTAAAAAGATAATAAAAACCAGATAAGTTATTATTATGATCTATGAACGTAGTAAATTAAAAATTATATTTTAATTTATATAAATAATATATTTTGCTTACCATTTGAAGTATTAGCTCTACGAATGATTTCTAATAAAGCAGCTGAAGAGCAATAGAGTGTGGACACAAGAGGCGCTACGTACATCAGCGCCATGTTCAACAGGAAATATGCGAACTCGTGTCGCTCCGTCGGTAGCGAGCCGTAAGACACGCACTGGAAATACCTGATACAGCGAAATGTTATTTAAAATATTAAATGAAAATTAGGCATATTATTAAGCAATCTAAAAAGATTTTTTATTATCGTGGTCTCTTAATTGACTTCGGTAAAGGGTGTGTTTTTTGTGTTCACAATTAGAGTATTATCGCATCCTATATTAAAACTTCAATTGTGAATTATTTTCACAAATGTTTTTGATTAATTTATCAAGATAAGCTCTACAAAAATTTCTAAATAGTACATGTTAGGTATAGATCAGAGTGGATAATTTAATCGTTAGAGTAAGTTTAATATTTTTGAACTTGTCGATAAATTACTTACATATATATAAAATACCTAATTATAATAACTACAGGAGAACCTCTTTATACTAACTGCAAAAACAAATAAAATGAACGTTAACAATAATTAAATTTGTTATGTTCTTTAATAGCACCTTTCATAATAGTAAAAATAAGAATAATTGTTAATGTTTCCAAAATAAAAAAAAAACGTGAAATGAGAATCGGACTCGCACTTCAAAGCTTTCGTATATTATAAGTCGAATTAGAGACGTTTTTGTTATATTCCTTTAACAATTCACTCGAAGCTTTTTTTTTTCGAGCTTTTTACTATAATTTCAGCAAACGAACACATGGCATTAGTGGCGAATATAAATGAAGAATTACTAACATATCCATCCAAAATCTAGTTTTAATTTTCAATTAATATGACTCACGCTAAATATGAGTTAGAATTAAGGTACAGATTGTATTTATGGCCCACTTTAGATAAATTCGGTTATGGCAGTAATTTATAGGCTTGGCAGTACGCCCGCGTTTAGAATGAGCTCCAGATGTCCATAGAGCATAGGTTAGCTTTTAATATTTCACATTTCCGCATTACATTTACATATAATTTCAATTTAATATTATCTTGTATTCTATAACTCAATTACGCGATTGATTGAATGTTTAATTAAGTCTTACAGACAAATAAAAACACTTCCAAAAGCATATTAATTTCAAAAGAAAGCTATAAGAGCCCATACTTATAGTTAATGTAAGAGAGATCGATGAATAATGATCGATAAAATAATAATTTAACAAAGTCGGTTTGATCGATTTCTATAATCCTTGATTTGCTGGATAGTTCTCCGCCCCGAATAGCAGAATAACTATTTAAATATCGGAAAATTCATAAAAAAATACCTGGGTAACGCTGGCTATTTACGTAATATTTATGTATATCTATTTAAAACGTTCCTAGGGAAGCACCCGAGCGAAGCGAGCGAAAATCGCTAGTTTCATATAAAAAAGGTTTTCATGATGATTTACACGTACATACATACATGCATTGAGATAATAAAAGTTAAGATTATGTTTATCTCTTTCTCTAATGTATACTAGATGCTCTCACACGAGCAGACGATGTAAACTAATTGTCAGTATTGTTATTATATGTACATTTATACCTATAGGCTAGTTACATCTCTAGCTATTGAAAGCGGCTTCCCGTTAATAATACTATTTTTAATAGTTAGTTATTTTCCATACAATTTTTCTTAACCTAAGCAAGGAAAAAAATAATATTTTCTTGAAAATTTTTCAATAGACCCAGTAGTTAAATTTTTAGTATTTAGAATTTGTACAGTGTCTTTAGGATATAATTTCATTTCTATAACTTAAAATAGCCATATCTTTTTCCTGATAATTTTCTTATATTGTGTTTGTATTCAACCCTGTCTAATGTCCCACTGCTGGGCACGGACCTCCCTTCAGTCCGAGGGGGATCAGGCCATAGTCCACCACGCTGGCCAAGTGCGGGTTTGCGGACATCACATGTTTTTCGACAACTTACTAAGTTCTCTCAGACATGCAGATTTCCTCACGATGTTTTCCTTCACCGTAAGACAAGTGGTAATCATGTTGGAATAGATTCGCACATGAAAATATCAGAGGTGCAAGACCCGAGATTTGAACCTGCATCACTCGGTTTCCCAAGCGAGCGCTACTACCACTGGGCTACCACTGCCTCAAATATTGTGTTTATTTAGGTTAAAATATTTATTTGCTAAACGATTTTCTTTAGGGACACTCATCTGTCAACTTATTGTCTGTAAATACATAATGAATAGAAGTTACTTGGATGGAGAAAATTTCTCTATAAGCATAACATTTACGTAACACAACTAATGCATTATTTTCTTATTTTTCATTTTATCACGCATTTTCCAAGTTTTAATGGGTCATTAGTATTAATCCGGGTGTATGAAATACAAATGACTTCCAACAAAAAATAAGAGTGTTTTAGATACAATTTGTTATTTATGTTTGGAAACTTACCCTCTTATATCAGGGTGTTCCTCCAAGTGGAAAATGAAGCTCTGCGGTAGACTGGCAAGCCCGGCACAGACCCAAGCAATCGTCAGTGCGCGTCTCACCCGCGCCTCCCAGGTTACATTCAAAGGTTTGAGAATGGCGTAGTATCTAGAAAGAAAAGAAGAACTCACTGAGATTTTTTTTACAAAAATACTCAATAACTGAATTTGGTCCGACCCTTGACTCGAACCTAGGACCACCAGATTTGCAGCCGTAGATGCTTATGCTATTATGCTAGCCACTAGATCACCGACATTTTTTAATAGAACAACTCTATGTTATAATATTGTAGGAATTAAAATGAAACTATTTAACGAATTCTCTTAATTAGAATTAATTACTTAAGTTTATTTTCGAAGGTATCAAAATATAATTTCTATATTTCAAGGAATAAACCAATACTAAATACTTCATCTTTAATTATTTCAATTAGATTTTTACCTTATAGGTATAATAAGTTTTGTTTTTAGTTCACACATTAGGTACGTGTACTATATATGTACTTCATATTAGATATTATTCTTTTAGATATCTAAATCTTTATAGTTTATGTTATTCTTTTTAATTATTTACATAAATCCTAGATATTAAAAAAAATCCTATTCTATAGTCGAATTTGTCTAATTTGTCAAATTATTAAAAATCTGAGGAAAAAGTTATCAAAATGGTTGCTGGCACTGGTTACAAGAACAAAAAGAATATATGTACACATGTACATAGTAACGATGATTGTCTATTTATGAACTAGGACTCACCCTTACTAGACAAAAACAAAAATATCCCACGGGAACAGTACATTTTTTCGGGATAAAAGTAACCTGTGTGGTATTTTAGACTATAATCTATCTCTATTCTCGAGCAAAGCGAGGGTGAGCCGCTAGTGTTTAAGTAAATTTCCCCTAAAGATATCTTTCTTAAAGCTTGATATAGATAATGGATGTTTTCTTTTTTATAAAACCTTTAACATTTAGATCTTTCATTTTTTAAATCTTCAAATATTAAAAGAGTAGTAACGTGCCTTTTCTAAATTTTACTAATATCCTAAGGGAAGACTTGAGGTACTTACTAGAATAAAAATCTTGTTAATATTTTTTATTATTTTGGCTAGGAAACTTTTTTCTTTTGACAAACCGATAAAGAATATTTTAAATTTATAATATTAATATATAGTAATCTGTCTAGATCTGTATCTACCTATATTTAAAAAAAAAACAGAATTATAGAAAACTTTACCTGTCAATCGCGATGCAAATGAGCACGAAGCTCGACAGATAGAGACCGAAGGTCCGCGTGAACATCATAAGCCGGCACATGAGGTCGCCGGCCAGCCACTGCACCGTCCCCGCCCAAGCTATCTCCAACGGCATCATCAGGAATGTCACCTGAATACACACACTGTTGTAGTTTAATCAATAAGCATTTCTTATTATACTTTCTGTTATTCAAGTGTTCTCGACATTTCGAATGCTTTACAGCAATCATGGTCATGGGATAGACTAAAATTGTAGACATCTCAAAAGTTATTATATAGTTGTTAGACAAAGTTTTATTTAAAATGTCAAATATTCGTGTATATATATGAAAGTTCAGACTAGCGGTTCACCCTCGCTAGTGAAAAACAATAACGAATCTATCCCACGGGAACTGAACATTTTCCCGGATAAAAAGTAGCCTATGTGTTATTCCCGACTAAAATCTATCTCGGTGCTAAATTTCATTCAGATCCGTTCAGCCATTCTGGCGTGATTGAATAACAAACATCCATCCATTCAAACTTTCGCATTTATATAGTATTATAAGATTACCTGCTTATAAAATGGTTAAGAGTGAGTCTGACTCATCTTTTTATTTTATTAGTAAATACGTTAAACAAATACGAAATATGATTTTTATTATATCTTATATTTTTTGTTCAATGTTGTTACATTTTAACTTTCTTTTTTTGAGAAATCCTCGAAAGAGCGCGTTAATTCGTCGTCATCGTAATATACACATTGTGTAAGTGTTTTAAGTCATAAACAATTGACATATATTGGTCATTTACCTTAAACATAAAAACAAAACGTTCATTGATCGAAATAAGCTTTCTCATTGTTTCCAACGCGTTATGGCTTTTCTTTGTGAAAGTATTATATACAGTCATGAGTATTGAACTTAACTACTGTTTATTAAAAATCCTAGATACATTCATTGAAATACAACACATAGCCTGATTTTCTGAGTTTAAATGCTTGTTTTTGCACAAGGGTTCATTGACACTAAAAAACGGTTTTTGAAAATTGAACCCCCTATAAGAGCTTAATACCCCTATTAAAGTAAGTAATGAAAGTTTATATAGCAGCAGAAAATTCTTCATTTCAGAAAATGAAAGCTATATAAGCGTCTGCTTTTGCAAATAGGAAAATCCAACGAACTCATCGCTATTATATCTACATTTTAAACCATAAACAGTTACGTTTTCTCATATTTCCTTATTTTCTGTGATCGATCAGTAATAACGGAAAAAAAGCACTTACCATAAGATCAGCGACAGCTAGGTGCATTAAAAGTACATCGAGTCTACTCGCTCTACCCATTCTTCGTCTCCTCACTAACTGTGACAGCACTGTCAAGTTTCCAGCAGCCGACACCATCATTAACACACTATACACTGTAATAGACACCATGTGTCCATGGTTAAAACGCATTTCTAAAGGTAATTCATCATTAATAGTAATATTCCAATGAGTCCAGTTTTTTTGCGAGGCCCCTCCAGGCCCCGAAACTTTTTCGTCTATATCCATTTTTTGCTACGTGACACTTTAAAATAAGCCTCCACTACTTGGTTGGGAAACGTGACATAGGCTTTCAGTAAACATTTCTTCTGAGCAAATATTTGGGAATTTCCTGGAACAAAAGAAAAATACGTTATTTTTTTAAAGGATTTTTCTCTATCTATTGTTTATATTTCTTTAAGTTCAGGGATTGATACAAATAAAAAACTTTATTCTTTTACTATCGTATGATCGGAATGTAGAGCTTAAATAAACAAAATATGTAAAAAATAAAGCGCGAGTAAAGTCCATAAAATTTTAGCTTTCAGTAGGGCAGATTTATAATCTATCTATCTATACTTATAATAAATCTGTAGAGTATAACAATTCTGTACATGAAATATATTTCCAAAATAACTATCAGGGGGTGATTAGGGATCGATACTGATGCCAAAAATGCAATCAGTAAAATTTTTGTCTGTCTGTCTGTCTGTCTGTCTGTATAACCGTTATAGAAACAAAAACTACTCGACGGATTTTAACGAAACTTGGCACAATTATTTTTCATACTCCTGAGCTGGTTAAAGTATACTTTTCATCACGCTACAATCAATAGGAACAGAGCAGTGAAGGGAAATGTTGGGAAAATGGGAGAAGTTACTCCATTTTCAACCGACTTCAAAAAGGAGGAGGTTCTCAATTCGACTGTATTTTTTTTTTATGTTTGTTACCTCAGAACTTCGTCATTTATTAACCGATTTGGACAATTTTTGTTTTGCTTGAAAGGGTATACTTCCAGATTGGTCCCATTTAAATTTCAAAAAAAAAATACCACCCCTAAGGGTGGAAAAATAGCTAATGATGAATTTAACCTACTTCTAATTGTCATATTGACTTGAAACTTTGCAAGTGTTTCTATTTCCGTTGATAGTACAGTGGTTCGGTATTGTTGACCTGATCTGATGGTAAAGCCAGAAGGTGGATAGGTGGAACACTTCAACGGCTAATAGTAGATACTTTAAGTTTGGGCTTGTTTTGTTTGATTTGACAAGCCTAATACGTTAGAATTCGTACTTTGCTATTACTGTCTACACTAAAAAGGGAAAAATAAAAACTTTTTAACAAAAAAATAAAAACCGACTTCAAACAAAAGCACTAAAAAGTAAAAAATAACTGATTGGTAGGTTTCATTTACTATACATACCTAATCAAATATTTTCGAAGTCGGTGTGCTTTGGCTAAGTAATTAAAGCCTACCTATTAAATACATACCTAATCAAATATTTTCGAAATCGGTGCCAGCCCATTCAAAGCATAGCAATATGAAAACAAAGCATATGAAAACTACCAATCAGTTATTTTTTACTTCTTAGTGCTTTTGTTTGAAGTCGGTTTTTATTTTTTTGTTAAAAAGTTTTTATTTAAGCTTCCGTCGCGTGTGCAACCTTAATGGTTAAAGCTACACAGAAATCATGTATGACGGAAATGTTCTCCTTAAAATTATATAAAAAATATCCCACGACAGCATATGTCTATCTTTTATGGTTGACTCACAATAACACGTGTAACTCCCGATAGCTTAGCAGTTCGAAGCTTTCTGATTTATATTTGTCTACTCTTACGTTTATAACACTCTCAGTCATCCCTAATTAAAAAAGTTAACATTATTAACTATTCCATAAAAAAGAATCATAGAAATCGGTATAGAAACACCAAAGTTATACATGAAATACGCTAATAATAAGCCATCGCGCGTGAATACTGATTCATGTGGATTATTTTTATCTTTATATTTTTACCTAATTATTTTTATCTTATTACCTTATTACCTATAATACAACAGCTCATGCACCTAATTTAGTAAAATTTGGCATGCTGATACCTTATATTACCGGTCAAACAACAGGTTACTTTTTATCCCGAAAGATGTATGGTTCCTGTGGTATAGATCTGTGTGAGGCGAACCCGAGCGAAGCGAGGGTGAGCCGCTAGTTTTAAATAAAGAAATAATATACATATATAACTACATAATCATCTGTTAAATTTAATTTTCACGAATTCTCAACATACTCGTAGTAGCTATAAAAGTTAATAAAACTTTAAAAAAATTAAGAAATTTACTAAATTTGGCATCAGTAAGGGATAGCGCATTGAATACTGAATGATTGTAGAAGAGGTTTACATATAGTGAAAAACACCACTCATAAAATCGTTTGCTATGATTCACAAATCGCAATGATATTTGACGCAGCCTTGAAATCATAATCAGGCAAAAAGGAATATAAGAAGAATATTTTTTATAAAATCATTTCATAAATCATTTCAAAATTCATAAATCAAATAAGTAATTATCATAAAATAGATAAATGCGAAAAGGTAATTACTATATGTATATACGAGTATGTATATAACTACATAATATATAATATTTGAAATATGCTGAGTTATGAATGTATATATTTATACTTTCAGTGTATTCAATAAAACTAATGGTACTTAAGAAATTGGCAAGAGTTACAGTTACTGCCATTATGTGACTTAACAGTACTATGCACAAAAATTGTAACTGAGTCGAATCTGTACATTATTTTTTTGGAAAATCTAATTGAAATAGACATTATTATCTATACAGAGTCCGAATCTACAGTTTTACAATTTTTGTCTGTCTGTCTCTCTGTTACCGCATCTAGAGAAAACCACTGGACAGATTTTGATGAAGTTTGGTATGATGATAGCTGGTTATCCGGGTCAACATATAGGATACTTTTTACCGCGAGAAAATATCTCATTTTTGAGAAAAAATACAAAAACTGCATTGTAAGAGTATACTAATATGTAAAACCAAATTCTAATAAAGATAACTGTTTGATGTTCAAAGGGACTTATGTGCTAACTAATAATATCTCTATTTGATACCGTGAATATTTACTAAGTGCGAGTATGTACAGTAAATAACATGAAATAAATCTATGTAGTATCAACAGATTTTACTCTAAATCTTTGCTAGCTTCAATCTAAATGTGTTCTATTCTAGTGAAACAATTCTAATAAATTATTTTAAACTAGCGGATCACCCTTGCTTCGCTCGCTTCGTTCCTAATGAAAAACAAAAACAAATCTATCCCACGAGAACCGTATATTTTTCCGGGATAAAACGTACTTATGTGTTATTTCAGACTATAATCTATCACTATGCCAAATTTCATCCCGATCCGTTCAGCCGTTCTGGCGTGATTGTGTAACAAACATCCAAACATCCATCTAAACTTTCATATTTATCATATTAGTAAGATTGATATTAAATAAAATTCCAACTGTGTCATTTGTATCATGTGCTGCCCACTCGACAAATGTACTTAAAAGATTAACTGAAAACTTTATACTTATAACTTTGAAAGTTCGGTAAACATCGGCAGCGTAGCCAGACAAAGGCATCAAAATAAAATCCTTTTATACACATACATACACATTTTATAGTCAACTAACGAATTTTAAGAAGTAACAAGTGTTTCATATACGTAAAGTAACTTAATATTACAATTTTAACAACCTAATTACTTTTGTTATTGTCAGTCGTTCAGAAACCTTCAATTTTCAATGAGTAACCTATCTACAAACATCTACGAGTCGATATTCGAGGTATTGAGCCTTACAGCCTAAAATATAACCTTGTAATTAAAATAGGGTATAGAGATTAAAATGGATATTGTTTAGAGTGTAGAAATGGTCGACAAATTAAAATAATTTACTTTTGATTGACTTGGCTTCTAAACTTTTAATAATGCTTACCATATTATTTGTTGCGCAATATTCGCAGCGTAGTTGAACAAGTTATTCAGAGTCATATGTATGTTTAGGCGTAACATGGCATGTAAAGGTTTTTGAAGGATAAATGTTTATAGTATCTTTTTACTGTTAAGTACTGTAAAAACTGTACTCAAACATTAGTTAATTAATACTTTGTTACCGTTAAATGAATGTTTGTTACTCGGTGCATTGATTACTCGCATCTTCTCGAATTTGTAATACGCTGCAGGCATTATAGTCTACATATTAGTTTTTCTTAAAAAATAACAAAAGATATTCAATACAAATTCCATGCTAAAATCGGGTGAATTTTAAATCCAATGTTCTAAATTATCTACGGTTTCTGTAAAGCATAGCTTCAAGAGGCTTTCAATATTTGTCGAATTATGAGTGGAGTGGCTCACTATGATTCTACTCAATTTGCCTGAAAGCTTATTGATTTATTTGGAGCTATGTATATTAAAAACATTACTTGCTTATGAAAACTGACACCTTATTATTCTATTTATGGAAATATCACAACTTACTGTTTACTTTTCGATTTCAAGATAAAAATATCTATAACAATGTAACTTTGCTACAACTTTTAAGCATTGCCTCCACTGTCTTACATTTTTATGATACAATTTTGCTCTTGAAGCTGTATGACTTCTCCACAGGAGTTTTTAAACCATGTAATTTACATATGTAATTGAATTTACGATTTATTTCCTATTCATGGAAATATTTAAGTAATGTACCAGATTACTTGAATATTTCCATTTCTATTAAAACTCATGATGTGAGAGCGGAAGCGGATGGAGAGACTATATTAGAGAGCAAATTATTTAAAAACTAATAATCATATGTTTATATTTTTAATCTCGTTGCAATTATTATTTAATTTTCTTTTAATGGCGAAAGGTTGGCTATATTTTGGTAAAATATTATATCTAAGCGTTTACAAAATTGTATTCTGTATCAAAAATGTACGATTTTTATTTTTCTATTTTTTCGTTTCTTTGATATTACTTATATCTACTGACAAGATATCATACTCATATCGTATTAAAGATGGATTTGGATATCAAAGGAGCTAGGAAAATTTTATAAAAAAATAAGGATGTTGCTATTCGTCCGATAATTGGATGAATAAAAATATATTATTCGTCCGACTATTGTCGGTTTGTAAGAATATTTACCAATTTTTTTGTTTTCTAATATATAAGTAAGAATATATAGTA